CTGTTGACATTTTTATCTTCTACTTATTTACGGGACATTCCTTTTGTCATGTGTCTGCGGCAGGTCCCAGGCCAGTTTCTGTCTCTGTTCTATACAGACCGGTTGGGTCTGTACCCACATGTAGACCTCGCTCGTAGGAAACAGTTCAATGGCGGCATCCCTCAGAGAGGTAACCTGAAAGCCAGTATGAACAAAGCCAGAGACGATATCAACTACTACATCCCATCCAAGTGAGCCTACTTACAATTCACCCTTTATTGTTCCACACATTTGATGCTGATCTTGAACCTACTTCTTCACCTTCCTGTCTTCCCTGCAGGATCAGCCGAGGCCTGGCTGTGATAGACTGGGAGGAATGGCGCCCCCTATGGGACAGAAACTGGGGCACTAAGAGAATCTACCAGACTTTATCTGTGGCACACCTTATGCAGACAAACCGCTCCTTGTCAGTGCCTGAGGCCACAGAGAAAGCCAAACAACACTTCCAGGTGAAAAACTGACTGTGTAAAAATTCATAAAACAAATAATATTGTTCTGAACTCAGATGTTATTCTTCCTTCTGCCTTCTGTTTTAGGTGGCAGCCAAGAATTTCATGTCAGGGATATTGACAATGGGCAGAGCCATGAGACCCAACTATCTCTGGGGCTTTTACTTGTTTCCTAACTGCTACAATTATGGCTGGGAGAGGCCAGACTACACAGGCCGTTGCTCCAAGGAGGTGAGGAGGCAGAATGATGAGCTGCTCTGGCTGTGGGAGTCCAGCACTGCCCTCTACCCCTCTGTCTACTTGCAGGTTAGTAACATTTACTATTTATGCATCTCTAATATTATTTCCACAATTTTCAAGTCCTCATTTTCCCCCTGCATCCTTGCATTGTTTCAGGTCTCTCTGGCAGACAATCCCAAGGCTGCTCTGATGGTGAGAAACCGTGTCCAGGAAGCTTTGAGAGTATCTGCCCTGCCCAGACGGAGTGGCACTGCGCCCGTGTTTGCTTACATGCGACCTGTTTTTGTTGATCAGAACAGACGCTTCCTCAGCCAGGTAAACAAGAGTGTAATTTGTTTAACAAATGTTATGAGCAATATGAGAAGAAGTATGAGCTGTGCTTGGGAGAAACCACTCTCTAAAAATAAGTCAGTGATTTTTCTATTTCTATTCTGTTCTATTCTAAATCTGCTGTACAAGCATTGCATTTTTGAAAGAACTCATTAGTTAGCGACCACACACTCGACTAGAATAGCTGCATCTTGGGTTACTTTTTCATCCTCGCAGTGAGGCGCTTCTATGAGGTTCCAGTTTTAAGAGGAGTTTGGTTTCTTGGTGTAACAACACCCTGCTCAGGTGGTAACCCTCACCTGAGCAGGTAATCATTATCCTCTCTTCTCACCTCGTAGGGTGAGTGTTTTGGGGGAAATAAACAGTGTAAAAGTCTGTGGACCATGCATGCTTTTTGTCTTCTGCGTATCTAAACAAAGGCAATAAAGAATACAATTTGTGTCCAGGGAGACCTGGTCAGCACCATTGGGGAGAGTGCAGCGGTGGGAGTGTCTGGCGCTGTGCTGTGGGGGGCCAGTGTTGACTATGATGACCAGGTAACATCACCCGGCAGACCTCCACCGCTGCGGGAGACCTGGTCAGCACCATTGGGGAGAGTGCAGCGGTGGGAGTGTCTGGCGCTGTGCTGGGCAGACCTCCACCGCACTGCTGAAAGACATGACAGCGTACCGGTGGTCAGACCGGAGACAATGTGTTCAGTTAGATGATATGGCAGTCCGCTCGTCTCTGAGACTGACTGACAATACCTGAGTGGCTCAGGTACTGATGGATTGTGTTGGTTGGTATAGTGTAGCAGTATTAGTTAATCCATGGCAGGGAAGCCAGGATTAGCTTGATGATAGTGACATTCACGGTTTAAAGTCTTCTGAAATATACCTCTGTAAATTCAAGTTATATAATAGTCTTACAGCTATTACGTATTATTCAGTGCATTAGGTTGTTATTTTGGGATTGTAAGTTTTTGAGCCTAAAACACTTTTTGCAATTTTTGCACAGTATAAAGTAGCCTAATGTTATAACATGTTGGACAGACACAGGCGAGCTGTTTCCCCGTTTACAGTCTGTATGTTAAGCTAAGCTAAGCTAAGCTAATAGTCTCCTAGCTTCAGCTTCAAATTGAATGGACATGAGAGTGCTGTTGATCTTCTTTTCTAACTCTTGGCAGCCAGTAAGAGTATTTCCTCAAATATCAAACTATTCCTTTAAGTACATATCAACATATTTCAGGGCTGTTGACTTGCTGTGATGTTCTGTTTCAGACATACAGTGTATAAATATACAAAGTATATGTACTTTTGAATAATTTTCTCTTCCTGCCCTTCCTGTTCCTTCTTCCACTCTCATCTCCCCAGACATCTTGTGCAGCCCTCTCCTCCTACCTCTCCTCCACCCTCAACCCTTACATCACCAATGTCACCATCGCCGCCCAGCTCTGCAGCAACTTCCTGTGTCGAGGGAATGGCCGCTGTGTCCGCAAAAGCTACGACTCCGGTCACTACCTCCATCTAAACCCCGGGAATTTCCGGATCCTGCATGTTCAGAACCGCTACCTCATCCTGGGTAGACCTAGCCTCTCAGACCTGAAGGCTTTGAGCAGGAGGTTTACCTGTCAGTGCTACAAAGGACTGAGCTGCTCACCCAGGACATACAAAGAGCTAGCCAAGGCGCTGGTATTTAGTGTGAAACAAGGGCTGTACCAGAAGTTTCACACGCTAAATAAAGCCATGTTAGACGATGCGCAACAAGCCAGTATTACTAAGGACAATGTTAAAAAGAACTTGAAAGTTTAGCTTGTAATGAATGAGTTTTTTTCCTGAGCTTTCTGAAAAAACACCATTTAAACCAAACACTGTACATTCAGACCATGGGAATAACCCGTCCTGTCGCAATCCAGTGTTGGACAGTTCATCTGCAGTATTATAAGCACCCAGGAAGCATCACTTCATCTTTATAATATACGCATTATATATCAGTGACATACTGAAACATGTTCTGTCTTGCCAAAGAACAGGGGTTTGCTAATAATCTAAGACCAAACTTACAAATGCTGTGCTATTTCAAGTAACTATTAGCTGCGTGACAATATTAATCCCACTGGGTATTTTGTTATGATTTGACTGTATATGTAAATAAATGAAAAGAGACATGGAGGCAGGAGTGTTTTTGTTTTTTTACTTTGTCTTTGTCATGGACATGGTAGGAAAAGCACAGATGTAACTAATTAAGTTATTGTGATTCTCAGCTTTGCTACACATCCAACTTTACCTCGAGTAGATACCTAATCAGATAAATTAAAACACCTGTGTGGGTGTTCATGGCCTGATAAGCTGCATTCATTGATTTGTAGGCCACAAGGAGGCAGAACAACTCCACCAGATGGACAGGCTGGTTTGTTTGTTAGTTAGCTAACTTGGTAGCAAGCAGTTATCTACTTACACATCCAGCAGATGTGGAGCAACATCAGCATTCTTTTGGGGACGTGTTTCTGGCAACCAGGCAAATGTAAGTAGTAAAATTAAATCTTTATTTCACCCGAGATAAATAATTGGCCATTTAGTTGGCCAGCTAATAGCGAACTCTGCTTTGTCTTTGGTATTGAGAAGTGTTTATTGGAGCTTTTTTTTTTCTTACAAAAGATGGCAGTTTGGCTACATTTTTGTGTGTTTGTCACAATTAGTCGCACCTTTCACATTAGCTGCATATATTAACCATTAATTCAATGTTATTTAAAAAAAAAAATTGAGCTATGGAGCCTGACAGGTTAATGGACTGGTCAACCTGCATGACTGCAAGTCAAATTTTCCAGGTGTTGTATTTGTGGGTTTGGGGTTAATGTTAATGAACTAATTAAAAGGCAAACTGTTGAATCTCACACTCTGTTTTCATCTGCATGAAACCATGTTTTCAGCTTGTACACAGCAGTCGTAAACTGCTGATTGAGGGTGCTAATGAGTCCGCATGGAGGAGTTGGTGTTTAATATTCCCATTGTGGGAATACTGTAGGCCAATGGTGTATTGACGGTGTCCTCTGGGCGGTAAGCGTGTGAGGTGAGTCTGGACTCACGAGCTTGCTTGCGTCAGTGATCTCCGAGGTGGTTTAAAGAGCGAGAGAGAGGAAGGCTTGATACATTCTTGGTTATGCAGCTCAGTTTTACCCTGTCACGGCGACTTGTGATGCCACAGTGAGCGTGCGAGTTAAGAACACATGCAGACATCGGTTAAAGATTTAAAGCCTGGGTGTTCATCACAACATCTCAACAGGGAAGTAGTTAGATAGCACAAATGGCCAGGAACCGATGCAAGTGTATTTAAGCAACTAACTTACAGGCGTATGTTGTGGAAATTTTGTTGTTTTAGTTATAACTTGCATCACTTAAAACCTCCATATATGCAGACCATCCAGACTCATTTAAACCCAAATAATAAATGTTATATCTTCACGCGAAAACAATACCAAGGCTGGGAACTTGGCCTTGGTGGCTGCATCGGTGGACCGAGGAGGAGGGGGACATCTGCGAAGGGGGAGGGGGGGAATACAAGATAATGTGCTTATAGTACTTTGGTAAACTATTCTTTGTTGTTCAATTTTTTTCCCCACCACAGCATACAGCCAACATGACCTCCTGTTGTTTGTGTCTTAGCACCTTTTTTTTTTTTTTTTTCTTTAGTTTTTGCTGTGGCTATAGTTTCATGCCTATGATATGTTGACAGTTAGGAGTCAGCCTGAAAACAGGTTGCGGACCTCTTTTCATTGGTAGCCTAGGGCATGTTCTAACAAAGCCTAAACACACAGGAGACCAAATGAAAAGGGAGTGAAACCAAATGTTTCCTCCGTCAGGCTTGCTTGGCCTGCTGCAGCGATAGTGTGAGACGGTATTGCTCAGAACTTTGCTGATGAATGTAAATGGTATTTACCAACATTAAAGTAAAGGAATGCCAGTCATGTCACAGGGAAATTTCAGATTTAATGAAGTTGTACGGTACATGCCATTGCAATTCAGGTTTCTAAAAGCAGTATGGTCTATTTATTATTTTGTGAATAACAAAGCAATGTTTGCTTAAAACACGTTTGCCGGGAAAAATCTTAAAGAAGTGCAAAGTAATGTATTCGGTTCAGTGAATACAAATGTTGAAGAAACTCTTTCGCTGCCAAGGTGGACAAAAAACAAAACAGCAGCCACATACAGGGCTAACTACTACTGTCAACGTTCTGACATGGATTCAAAATAAGTTTTGTCACATCTTTTCGTTGATGAATAAATGATTAGCTATAATCTTTGCCAGGTACCCTTCTAAATATTTGCAGACAAAATACAATTTGATTTTTTTATAAATCAATCACAGACGACAAGGAAATCTGGTTTCTTATTTGAAGAATCCAAAGTGAATGATTCTATTATAACTTCAGAAATGAAGTGCAACAATTTCAAGGTTGCTCTGACAACATGCAAGGGAATTTACCGATTACTTTTGCCCTGTATTTAAGTATTTTACTCGGTTTACTGAACCCTCAAAACAGACCCAAAAAGGCTTTAAAATTCACTCACGCTTTGCATTCAGCAAATCACAAGCTTATCCAAACATTCAGAAAATACTACTCATTCCTACAATATCTTAACAACTAATTATCAGAATTCAGAGTTGTGATTAGTACAAAATATTTTCTAATTATGAAGACATGATTAAAGGGTGGATTCATAAATGACCGGATTGATTCCAGCAGAAAGTTAAAATGCTAATGTGGGAGTGAAACCGGATCACCTGCTGGCAATGCAAACGGCAAACTGATGTAAACCTAATGAAGTTACTTGTGTGGAGGAGACAAGATGGCTAAATGTACCATTTGTTTGGTCACAGTGCAAGGTACTTAGATTAGTCTGTTAATAAGGCATAAGACTACTGTAAAGCAAATGTTGGTGTCAGAATATGCTCTGTATACACAGCTGGAGTATATTTAGGGAATACTTAACTAAAAACCTGTTTTTGTTGTGTTGGATACAGAAATCTGTAAATGTGATCAGCTGTAATTAAATGTGCATCATTCTGGTGTAACCGGTTATTCTGATAATGGAACAAACGCCACCTCTCTGACTGAGACCGTCATTAATGCTGAAGGTGAAAACATTTTATAATGATCATTTACAAATCATTGCTGTGCTTCTAATCTATCAAGAGGAGCCTCATGGACACCGAGCCTTGTTTCTTGAGTCTGCATGCAAAGGAAGGCACTCCAGCAAAGTAATGCTTGGTTCATAAAAGATTCACAGTAGTATCGCACTCTGCTCCTCGTATCCATTCAGCTACAGGTTTTCTTGCTACATTTATTACCGGGTTTATTCCTGCTCTATTAGTTGTCATGCAAATAGTAGTCATGCAATTGTCGAGGGTCGTATTAACAAGATGGGTGAAAATAGGGAGTTTGTTTTAAAATATGAATCAACATTGAAAAAGAGGTTAATGCCCAGTTGTTTTTGACCTTGTCTTAGAAATACTGACTATGAATATCATCATGTCTAATCCATAAACCTTCCATATTTTATTTTCAGCATGCAGATATGAGCTAAAGCATGCCAATGGTTATTCAATTTTTCAATTCAATTTATTTATGTAAATGACATAATCGATCCAACTCAAACTAGACCTGCTACAATGCATGTAATGTAATGTATAGGAATGTAATGTATAAGAATGTAATTTATAGGAATGTAATGTATAAGATGGCAAGTCTGCCACTGCAATCATTTAAAAAACAGAATTACCAAAGTCTTGTAGACTTGAAAAATATTCATATTAAAACTATATTTTAGATAAAATGGCAGTAGGTTAACTGCATTTACACAGGTTTGGTGTATCATGGTCCTCAGTTGTGTTTTATCTTTATCACTGGACCCAGAGATATTAGGCGCAGCAGAGTCAACAACTGTCTCATCTGCATACTGGTAATAAGTGAATAGACTCCAAAGTATCAAGACTCTAAACTTACTGAAAACATGAGCTGCATAAAATGTTGAATCCTACATTCAACATCTCAACATCTGTTGTCACATTGCTGACCAACTGTCCAAAGAGTCACTTCTTGCCCTTTTTTTTTTTTTTTTTTTTTAATAAATATCAACATTTACATCTTTTCCAGTTAAATCAGCCCGATCTGAATACAAATTAAAGTCGTTTTTTCTTTGACTCCACTGGTCCATTGACTTCTCCATTCTCCTCACTCAAACCATTCACATCTTTGGTGCACTTGACTCTCAGCAGGACATTAGACAGCACGTCCTGGTACAAACTGAGGCAGGCCCAGCCGGGCAAGTAGAGGAGGGTGATGAGTCCCATGAAGTTGTGAGGATAATGGGAGTAGTCCCAGGAGCAGGCGCCAAACTGCCTCAGGACCAGACCCCAGGAGAACTCCCAGGCGTAGATGAAGCAGATGTAGATGGGGAGCCGCCGCCACGTCCCCCAGCCTCTGCTGTAGTGCAAGTGAAGGTAGAGCTTCTCCACCACGAAGCTGCAGCTCCCGTACATCAGGAAGGACCACAGGGACGTGTGGCCGCTGAGGCTCCGGTCAGACTTCTCCACGAGGTTGAAAATGGAGGTGAAAATCACCTCGTCCAGAAAGCCTTGCATCCCAAAGATCAAGAAACGCACGAAGCCGGGGAGACCGCGAAGAGGCCCCCGATCATGACCTGTGTCCTCCGGGCCGAGTTCGCTCGGGCTGTCGGGGGTGCAGGAGCGGTGGTACTGCAGCCTTGACAGTCCTCTGTGGAACACCAGGGCGAAATAGAGAGACAGAATGTAGTGCACGACCAGCTGCGTGCCAGATACCACCCGCACGTGCTCGGGCAAAGTGTTGATGTTCCCGATAAGGATCTGCAGCCCGATGTAGACAGACGGGTAGAAAACAAGATGAAACACCACAGGCCGACCTCGGAAACACCTCTTCTGTGAGTAAATCGTCTCCAGCACAAAGTGGGTCAGTGAATGCATAATGCAAAGATACGGAGAGGAAAAGCCCACCATTTTAGGGTCTCGATGATTTAAAAACCCCTGTACCGATGAGAGCAGGACATCCAGAGTCACGCCGTGCATCCCGTAGAAGTAAAGCCGCATCCATCGCGGCAGCTCCCGGAGCGACTCCACCGCGTCCCCCGTCTCTCCGACCGGTTCTTGTTGGTGGGGCATTCGCGCCGTATTCAGGACACCGGTGGGGTTTCCTGGATGACCGCGAGGACCGTCTCGCCACCGACTGGCCATGATCTGTCACTCTCTCGAGAGAGATCCAGCTTCACTCTTCCTACACGTTGTCTGTTCCAGCACATTGAAGCAAGCTGCGTCTGCAACCACCCCCTGCAACTGCGGCTGCCTTCCCGTGTTCCCCGGAAATACCTGCTTTTGTTAAACCAGTTTGTGAACCCAACTTGACAACAACAAACAAAAGTCCTGTTTACATTTTGTGCCATTCATCAAACTCATTGTGTGCAACCTCATGTTTAGCGCATTTAGTTCCTCATGAAACGTAGCCAATTTTGAAATATGCATTGTTTATTTCTACGTTGTTTACTAGCGAGCAGTCCTCTTCCTGCCTTTGTGGGAGCACTGCTAAACGTTTGGGCATGTTACCTTCACCAACTGTCGATCGTGCATGTGTGTCCCTGTAAAAACATAACTCTATAGGGGTCAACAAATTGGCTCAACAAAAAAAATGTGTCATTATAAATCTGTTTCCTGGTGTTGGTCCAATGTGAATGAAGTCAAAAGGTCTCAGTAGAGAAGTAAGAAGGAGGATTGCAGGTATTTAAATCTGCTGTGTGGCAGCAGGTGCTGCCACCTCAGTCATACGCATTTGGTGCACCGCCAAAACAATGTGCCAAATTTCCAATAGCACCTGAAGGCAACATAAGAGAGGAACTGATGGAGGAGGAGGTGTACCTGTGGCGCATACGGGACATTTTGGCTCTAACAGTTATTAATTGAACTCTCATCCCCTGACTGTTTAATTACGAGTCATAAATGATAATTACAGCTGATTACTCTGTTAATATGATAGACCAATATCGGTCCTGTATACTAATCCATCATCTTTCATCAGAATGAATTGATCACCCATTAGGTACATAGACCAGTGTGATGAGGAAACGGATAGATAGATGGCCTGTATCATAAATCTTATGTTCAAAGTGACACTTATACATTAGGTTAAATGAATACATAAACTGTCAGGCATTGATAGATACCTGATATGGATGCCACCAAGTCACAATATCTCCACTTCCTCTAATGGTTTCCTGTTTACTATCTTGCTATTGCTGCGGTTATGAACTGAAAAAAACATTCAACATTGTTGAATGTTTTTTTTCACGTACTGTTAATCTCAATATGAGACCATGGTTTCAATGATAAGATTAAGGCTATTAATCAGCCACGATTTCAGCCGGACTATCCATAATATGCTGAAGAGATACTGAACAAGTACAGTAATTTAATTCAAAATTACCAAATCAACCAAAACAAGTATTCTGAATGAGATGAAGAAAGCTTATAGTGACACATAACGAACTATGATTTTTAAGTGTTGCATTTGCTTTGTAGAAATAAGCAGAACAGGGATAACAATATGGAGCAGCAGTATAGTGCAAACAAAAGATGCACATAAGAATTTGCACATACTGTATACATTTTATGTTCATCTGAACCCTGCGGTCGTATACAGTATTTAGTACCTTGGTGAGAGGGCTTGCAGTATGACTGGACGGCCACAGATGGGCACTACTGAGTCCGTGAGAGATCCGGCTTATTTTCGCCAAAGGAAACTCATCGGAGGCTAAATGAGCCCAGGCAGCATGTGTGACATGGTGCAGTTTGGCGTTTGTAACTCATTCACCTCTTCTTATGATGTGCCTTATTGGTTTAGCTCCGACTGACACTTTGTGAAGAGGAGTGTGTGCTGAATGCATGCATTAGGGTTTGTTTGGTGTTTGTGTGCCTAGTACTACGAGGGTATTCATTTGTATGAGTTTGTATTCTACCTCTTGGAACAGTCTTTCATGGTGTCACAGATGGTATACTAACAGCATTTGTTTGCACTCTGAGTGCTCTGTGAGTGTCAGCATCTCTCTGCAGGATGCAGTTGTGTCTTTCTGTGTGTGGGAATATATTCATGTGTGCTTTTGTAAATGTCTGTGGGCCGTCTATGTGTTTATTTGTATTTGGTTGTGTGTGTGTGTGTGTGTGTGTGCACTCAGAGGAAATAGAGATATCAGTGGTCTTTCTGGGCCACAGAGATAACGGTGTGTCTCTGCATGCTTTAAAACCATCAGAAATCACTTCAGCACAGATTGAACTCGAGCCTGAACCCACTCAGTCGTGACTCAGAGCCCGCACAGCCGACTCAAAGACAAGAAAGCAAGACTCATTTTCAAATAGTTCAGGTCAAATTCAGCATTTTATATGTCAGCTGACAAGACCTGACCATCTCTCACACATGCACATCTTCACCTCCTTGCTAAAGTGCATTTTCTCAACCTCGACTGATTGCTACAGAAAATAGCCATAATTCTTCATGCTCAGAATGTAGACGCTAGTCTTTAAATAATAATAATCTGTGGTGTGAAGCCAGTCCGCATCAAACTGCACTGACCTCTTCTAGCTCTGATGCTGTCTCATATATATTGGATTCCCTTTGTATCACTGTGTGCTATTTTTCACTATAGTTTAATTTATCAGAGGACACAAAGACCCTGATAAATTAATATTCATTATTTTTTGAGAAGAAAGTTGGAGTGGAATGAGACAAATGGATGGCTGAATACATTAGTAATTCAGATGATAACACTGTTTTTGCAGAACGGTAAATTATCTCCTGATGTCACCGTATAGCGACACAGATTATTCATTTCCTCATGTCTTTTACTCGGATGACTGGCAGACTGGCACAGTGGCTTTGTTGTTATGAAGCGTGCAAACTGTGGAATATTCCCTGACTAGCAGTCAAACAGTGAATCTAATTTCCGTGTGTGCTTGATGTCATTGTCTCTCCTTTGTGCTGATAATCTCTGTGTGAGGTGTGCCAGTGCCACCAAGACAAATCCCTGGAGATTTAAAAGACTTGATCTGTTATGTGATTATGATCTTGATATTTCATGATCTTGATATTTCATGCAATCGTTATGCTTCTACACTTTCTTTGATCCTAAGTGAGTCCCTCAGTGAAACATCTGCTTGTCTGTGAGTTTGAGTCTCCACGCTCACCAGATGAAACACTGTGTGGACCTTGAGTTTATGACAGGCAGCCGGTCTGTTCTCTTTGGGTCTCCATGGATAGCCTATGTTTTATGCATTTGAATGTGTTTTGATGGATTCTTGTACGCCAAGTGATGGATGCTCAGGAGTGACAATGGCGCAGAAAATGTAGCGGCACAATATCTCCTGGTTAAGCATTTGTTACACCAGACCATACAAGTATATCGTCCCATGTACACTTCATATAATCAATTTAAAAGTGTTCAAATTGCCAAAAATCTAGAATTATTTTCCCAAGAAGGCTGTTTATGTCTCTGTGGTGTTTTCTCAGGCTTTAACACTAGATGGCAGCAGTGTGGCACACTCTCCCATGGCTCGGGTGGGCCCCTCTGACTCAGATGTTGTTAATTCACAGAAGCAAAATACTAGTACTGTTTTGCATGGAGCACATTTAAATGCACAGTGCTTATATTTGTGCATCAATGACGGCCAATGCAAAAGACTTCAAATGTGTGGCCTGAATAGACATATGATTGTGTCTGTACTGTGGCCTTGCACTGCTTCATACTCATCACCGTGTGCCGATTGAAAGGTTAACAATGGAGGATTCAAGCTTATTCTACTGCTGGTGTCATTTAGATAAGGGCGCCGTTTAAGGCCTGAAACCTGAATATGTTCTGAAGGGTCGTACAATGTATTAATCAGGCTCTTGTACATCTACCCATGGCTCATTGTATGGTTTAGAACAGATATATCATATTAGGTACTTGACAGCCTCTCCACAGGTGCATACAACAACATTTTCCAATCCGATATATCCTGTTAGTCTCATTACAGCCCGTGAATGGCTGAAAGACAAAGCTATGTGATGTTTGATTGATGTGACGCTTGACCGAGTCCCGCAGGAAATTAATGTGAATCTGCTGTCATGCACTTAAAATGAGAACCTCTGAAAATGTAATTGCAGAACCCATTTCCTCCAATATGAGCCATTATTGAATGGGCCGCTGGCCCGATGCTCTCACATTGTCTCATATGGTCAGGCTGGGATAGGGTAATGTTTGTGTGTGCCAATAAGCTCATGCTGTGCTTGTATGTCTGTGTTCTTTTCCCAAATTTATACATTTTTGATGCATAAAATAATGCTAGTGTGCCTGTTGCTTATGTGAGAGAGTCTGCACGTATGTGTAAACATGTGCTCCCTCCAGAGATGGGAGGAGGAAGAAGGGGAGGATGAAGAAAGTATAAAGATCACTCATCCCAATAGGAGGTTTGCAATATTCCCCTGAGTAGTTCAGGCTCTTGTTTGCAGTTTCTTCTTCATTAGGAATTCTGTGCAACCCCGAGACTCTCCCGTCTCACCTCGCCTTACCCTTCTCTACTCCCTTACTCCCCTTGTCTCTCCTCTAAAGGCTCTCTCCTCTCCTGTCCTCCTCACCCTCACACCTTCCCATCTTGTATTCAGTCACTGCCTCTCTGCCAGTATGATTTTAGGAACCACATCTTCTCCAAGTCTTGATGGCAATAGTTTAACTATAATATATTCATTTGATACTGGATAATGCTATTGTTGGAGTCTTTCAACTGTCCTCACCCTTTTCCTCTCCTCTCATTTATATTTTCATTTATATTTTCTTTTTCTAACTTCTTTTCTCTCTTCTATTCTCCTGTGTACGTCCCGGTGGATCTACTTCTATAATTAATCTGTGCCTGCACTCACCCATCTCATTCTCCCGCTCATCTTCTCCTCCTCTCCTTTCATCTCTGCACTCCTCTCTGCAGACACCTTAGTGACCCTCCTTTTAACCTTGTCATCTTAAATAACCCTCTCACCACCTCCTCCACCCTTTCACATGTCTTCAGCCTCACTCTAACCTTAATTTCCCCCTTTCTTTCACCTCTTAACCCCCATACCGCCCACCACATGGCTTATATTGTCTCTAGTAAAACATCTTTTACCTCTTTTCAGCAGAATCTATTCTTCTTCTCACAACTGCAGTGCTGTAATTTCTCATGCCCCCCCTCCCAGTTGCATAACCTTTTACTCTCTTCTTCTACCCCTTCCTACACGCCTCAAACTTTTTCTTCAAGTTGGCACTTTAAGTTTGTTCTGTATTGTTT